TCAATTTCCTTTGCTTGCAATTTGTCCGCCTTGTGCTTGGATAAGAAAGTGTAGGGCAGACTCTCCTCTTTCAAGTGGCTATAGGTTGCTGTTAGGGATGGCTGTTACAGCGTTGGTGCAGTGGGTGCAACAGTGCAGGTGCAATGCGATTTTCGAGGGAGAGAAGGGGGAAGGATCCCAAGATTTCGTGCTGTGAGGACTTTTCGCTCTTAAGGACTCGGGACTGTGAGGATTCCGTGTGATAAGGCCTTCGAAACTCGGTACTGACTGAAGACTCAGAGTGGGGAGGAGAGGGGAAGGGGGTGAAAGGGAGAAGGGTGGAAGTGGAAAAGGCAGGGCGCAGAGGGGAAGGGGAAGCAGGGAGAGGGAAAGGGTAAGGAGGAGTGTGGGGGGGGGGGTGCTGCTGTTCTTTCGCATTTTGGGCCATCAAGACTTCATCTGGAGACACTTGGCAGCTGCTGTGAGGTTAATGTGACATCATCCACAACCCGCTTATATATGCTCGTTTTCACAACGTGTTAAAAAGCTGACACAGGTCGGACCATAGCCGAAGGTCCGGGCGAAGCTAGAATGCAAATCGCAATAGTAGTACGTATTTTCGAGCCTCCGGGATAGTACAGTGGTAACGTGTCGGCCTCTCATCCGAGGGGTCGGCGGTTCGCGCCCCGCCCAGGCGCAAGAAGTTGTAACTGTCGCCTGGAGGTTACTGCTGTGCCTGGGCACCACGGCGGGTAAGGACTAAGCTCATCCGAGTCAGCACCTGCTGACACTGTTAGCGAGTCAACACTAATCGGCACAAGCCGGGCTCCCCTCATAGCCCCGGCGAGGCTCAGCTTCGCATATCGGACTTATCCTTACATGTTTTCGGACATATATCAAAGAATGAATTATAAAACAGTGACTTTTTCTATAAAAATATATATCAATATTTTGTGAATACACTAAATACTGAAAGATCATCAATAACCTATAGTATATTATGTTATTAACAATGCGTTTAGTTCCACCACTGAATACTGAAAGAAAACGGAATTTGTCGAATGAACGCTCATCCTCACTGACTGGCGAATCAGTGGCAAGTCTGGGCAGGGGGGGGGAGGGGAAAAGGAATGCGGGATAGGAAAGAGGAAGGGGGGGGAAGGGCAAGGGGCAGGGAAGGAGGAGAAGGGACAGAAGGGAGCAGAGAAGGGGAAGGAAAAGGGGCATCGTGGGAGTGGTTATAAGGCAGGGGGAGGAGAAGAGAACAGGGGGAGAAGAGCAAATGATAGGGGGAGGGGAAGGAACAAGGGGTAATGGCAAGAGATAAGAGGCGAGGGAAAGGGGAAAAGGCAAGGAGGAAAGAGAGGGAAGGAGGAGGGGAGAAAGGCAAGTAGCAAGGGGGAGAGGGATAATGATGATTATGATCACCTTAAGGATATAGCTGAGGGTATGATTACGCATAGTATATGTGCATTATTAACTATTATGATAGTAGTAATAATAATAATTTAATAATAATAGTACTAATGACAATAACGATCCCGACAATAACAAGAATAACGATCAAGATGATAATAACAATGACGATAATAATAATATCGACAAGATAAATAATATCAATAATAGTAATTATTATTAATAATAGTAAAACGATAATAATAATGGCAGTAACAATAAGAAAAAAGGATGTTACTAAGGATGACTGTGACGAATACGAAAATTTTGACACGAAAATGCTTCCAATGATGGCAGTTATTGGTAATTATGATGATTAGTATAAGAACTACAATAGGATGATAAACTGTGAAATGCGGTTTTTAATGCAAAAGTATTGTAATACTAAAGGTGACTGCTGTGATAAAGAGAATTACGATGGTAATTATGCTGATTATGATGGCCATGTTAGTAAGGATATCTATGAATGTGTTAATCATGATGGCAGGAATAACGGCGATAAAGCAATGAACATAATAGTGATACTAAAGATAGCAAGGTAAGTAATAAAAAATACTGTAAGGAAAGGTTCCAGGTAAATATCTAATTCACGAATTAATGAGAAAATTATACCGTTATGTCTCGGTGCATGTGTTCGTCCTTCTTCTATAATGATTACCTTTACTGCTTGTTACTTCCATTCATTCTTCGCTGTGTTAACCTTAACAACCACTCGCGGATAACTATTTTTCATTGAATATTTAGCATAAATAATCAATGTATATTTTTTAATCCCAATGCCGCCGGGGAAAATGCTGTGTCTATTTTCTATATTTTTATGAAATATCTGCCCATAGATGGCCCTGCTAGCACCTGATTTGAAGTGGCGGGAAAAAACGTATTTTTCACTAGTGTTATGAATATCGATGGTGTTATTTTTATTATAAATATTATAATCATTATTTTTTTAACATTAGTAACAACAAAATTAGATCGATGGTGTTATTCTTATCTATAACATTAAAATTCTCCTAATGTTTTTTTAACATTAGTAACAGCAAAATAAGATCACGTAAAATATTTTGTA